TTACACGCAGCTGCTTTTGCACACACAAAAAAAATTAAAAAGACAGTAAGTTATAAACAGAAGTAGAAGCTCTGAAGCTGAAGCAGAGAAAACCAGCTAAGTGGAACCGGTGTTACAGTCTGGCTCTGGAGTGTCCATCAAGACTCGAGTCTTCAAGTCTTGGTCCCGGAAAGGGTTTAGCTGAAGGTCCTCAGGTCACTCAGGAGGGCTCATGAAAGGGACTATGGGGCCCCACTCCCTTCGTCTTCCTCCTTTTAGCCCCTGGGAGCAGTTCTGATCTGCCCTGTGCCCCCAGAACAGGCACCTCCCAGGGGCCAGGAGCAACAGATCCGACCAATCACACACAGGAGTCTCCTGAACCATGAGCCGACAGGGACTTCCTCTTTGCAGGCTGCTCACCTCAGGTGTTTTGTTACAGACACAGAAAGCTGATGGACACCAACAGCAAAATAACCTTAGCTCTGGGCCAGGTATTTAGCTCAGTCGTGCCACTGCCTGCCTCAAAAACTCAAGGTCCCGAGTTCCATTCCCGGTACCAAAAACAAATAAACAAATAAATAAATAACCTTAGCCCTGAGCTGGCTGCTGGCTTCTATTTCCTCATTCTGCCTGTCGCCAGCCCACCCACATCCAACATGCCCGGCACGCTCTGGTCCCTGGGGTCTGCAGGTGGGCCCCTCTGGGCCTGCAGCTGGCCACGAGGGCACTGGCAGGGCAGGGAGGCCTGCGAGGAGGCAGGTGGGGAGCTCTCTCTCCTGGCTGCCTTCCCTCTTCAAATGGTGATCAAGAGGTCCTGAGAAATGAGGACTCATTTTGCTTTACATGGGTCTGTTTCTCAAAACTCACGACTACGGACTAGCTGGGCGTCAGGATGGGTCTGTTGATTTACAGCTCTAACCATTTTAACGTGGAGATTCCTATTTCTTCCACCTAATAATTTCTGCTTAGTCAGGAAAGCAAGAAATTAATTTACTCATCATTCCACTTTGCACGTGACTTCTTGTGGGCAGTGTTCTGCTGGTTCCCCATGTAAACCCTGGGTACTGATCATTCCGGGTGCAGGCCAAGGCTGTGCAGGGTGGCTGCTGTCTTTTGTTCATGTGTCTTTTGCTCGTTTGTCCATTTACTCCTTCAACAAGGAGAAGTGTCCCAGAGCTTGCACCCTCTGGGCACTGTGACAGGCGGCTTCCAGTTGGCTGGCTCATGCCTTGGGGATCAGCAGTGGAGGCCTCACTGTGCTGCCTGAGTCCCACCCATCCTGGGCCTCAGAGGCTGCTGAGCAGAGGCCACACCCAAGCTGATGCAGTGCCCGGGATTCAGAGGTGGGAAGAGTCTGGTGTCTCCCCTGCTCCATTGTATAATCACGGACCCAACATCTCAGACAGAATTAAAAGGAAGAACCTGTGCTTGGATAAACTCTAGGCCCCCTGCACACAGTGGCTCCCTAACTATCCATGGCCAGCCGGATGTGATGTTGTGATTTCCTCTACCCAGCTGGGCGCCTGGCATCCGGTGAGTGCTGCCCGAGTGCACTGCCTTGTTTCCTGAGACTGTCTTCCCTCTGCCTTGTCCCCCATGGTTCCTTGGGTCTGGCAGGGCTGGGGCCAGCCGTTCTGTGCCCCTCTGAATCTCATGGGCTCCTGTGGTGTGGTACTGAGAGTCCGGCCGGGATTCTCAGTCTCCAGCTCAGCCTGGGAAGGCTCCTGTCCCAGCCCTCCTCCATCCTTCGGGGGCCTTCGTGTCCACCCGCAGCAAGGGGTCATGGTGCCAGGCCACCTAAGAGGTCAAACACATTGTAGTGGGCAGGGGACACCACCTCAGGGTCACCCTTTACCTCCACCTCCTGGTCCAAGGTCCATCACCAAGTTGCAGCAGTGAGAGCCAGTAGGTTTGATTTGTGTTCCCAGTTTCTGGTCCAGAGCTCCAAGAAAGCCTTGGCATATCCCGGGGACAGGTGACGTCACATTGAGCCCTTTCCTGATGGACCCGAGTCTACACCCACGGATGACTCAGGTGGGCCTTAGGTGGTTTCAAGGCAGGGGCTGTCCCTGCTTTGAGGGAAGGAATTTCAGTTCCATCCCTGACCTCTGAGGGGGAGTTCAATCAGCAGCGGCTAATGATCGACTCAGCTGTAACTTAAATGATGGAATCTCCATACAAACCCACAGAAGACGGGGTCGGGGCCTTCTAGGCTGGCAGTCATACAGGTCCTGGGAGCCCTGAATCTCACCCCTGCCTCCTTATATCTCTTTCACGTGGCAACTCCTCAATTGTGTCCTTTACAAAAAAGCCGTTGTCACTCCAAGAGGAGCATCTTTGTGAGTTCTGAGTCATGCGAGCCGATTACGAAACCTCAGAGGAGGAGGACTTGGGAGCCACCGGTGTGCAGTCAGAAGGATAGAAGTGTGGATTTCCTGGGGACCCCACTTTTGGCAGAAGTGGAGACAGCCCGGGGAATGGGGACCCCTCACTTGTGGGGTCTGCCCTCGGTCTGGATAGATAGGATCGGAAACAAGATGCCGTACACCCATCTGGGGGTGGAGAACTGGAGGACCGTGGCAGGTACCTGGTGTCAGGAAGAGACACACTGGCTTCAGAGGTGGTGGCGGGAAAGGGACTCAAGACGCGAGTAGTGAATGGATGCATCGAAAGCACAGCCCTGGGTGAGGCCGGGCAGTGGTCGGCCTGTGTGTGGCACCTGGGGCACAGAAGTTGAAGCCACCCAATGGATTAACTTGTCCTTTGCATACCTTACAAATGTGCTCTTTGTTTTTCTGTATCTCTGCCCAGCACACTGAGTTCTAAAGAAAAGCTGCCCCCAAATGGTTAAGATATTAACTGCTAGAGTCAATTGCTACAGCAAAAAAAGGAACAAGAGAAATATTGGTCAGAAGACCCCCACCTGTCATCTTTGGATTTACAGAAGAGTGTTCTATAATATCAGAATGCGCATCAAAGAAAGGGCCCACTTCAGGATGAGTGACCACTCCCGTGCCCGCCGGGGTGTGGCTAAAGGGCATTTCCTGTGTTTCTTTCAGAGCTCCTGGCCTGTGCTTGTTGTCCGAGATGGCATGGCGGTTTCGGATAAGCTAACTCACCACTGTAACATAGCTCTTTCCTCTTTGCCTCTTGACTGACGGGCTTCCACGGTGCAACGAGCAGACCTGACCTCCACGCGGTCACAAGGCACAGGGAACCTGGGCCCTGTCCTCGAGGTGCAGACCTGCGCACCCAGGGCCGCTGCAGGATAAGCCCAGGGGCTGCAGAGAGGGGTTGGCTGCTCTGAGACAGGCTTGAGGGGCGGGAGGAGCTGATTTTTCAAAGATGACCCCGCCGTTCAGAAGGAAGTAGGGAGGTGTTCTGGGCATCGGGTGGGGCAGTGTGGGGGGCTGGGATCCTGCAGGAGTGAGTGCAAATGCGCGCAAGTGTGAATGTGTGTGGGCTGTCAGAGAGAGGGCACGGTGGGGTTGGGGGAGAAGGGGCAGACAGACCACAAAGTCCGCTCCACTGGGCATCTCTCCAGAGGAAAGTGGGGGGTAAAGCAGGTGCCCCCCTCCAGCCTGGCCTGCGCTAGGTGGGCACCTGGTGAACACAAGGCCAAATCTGCCCACTTCCGCCTTTGTAAATAAAGTTTTCCTGGAACCAGCCGTGCCCGCATTCATCCACGTAATGCTAATGTCTACGCTCACAGGACCACCATAGCGGCCAGTAGCTGCAACAAGACACCGTGTGGCCTGTGGAGCAAAAAATACTTTCCACCTGATCCTTGGCGTTCAATACATGAGAAAAACAGATGAGCCAGTAGAAAGGAAGTGAAGCAAACCCAGAGCTAGAGTGGGTGTGCATGCATGCACATGTGTGCACACACGTGTTTGTATATGTGCTGGTTTTAAATTTCCTCCCTCTTTCCCCTCCCTCCCATTTTCTCCCACTTCCTTCCTCTCCCACCTCTCCCTCCTCTTCCTGCCCCTTCCCCTTCCTCCCCAGCCATCTGACGTCCTCCCTGCCCCCTGGACCTGTGTGCACGCGAGTGTGGCTGACAACTCCCCATCACTGCACGGCCCACTTGGCCACCTCTTCGTAACAAACACCCTCACGTTGCAGATGGGGACAGGGACTTTTCACACACCACCAAGGTGCTAGACCAGGATGGTCGTTGAAAACCAGTGGCGCCAAAAGAGAGCTGGAAAATCAATTCCGTTTGTTTTAACAGAAACTTTGTCTTTTCATCAACACAGAAATCAAGACAGAAGAACCAAGAACAGCCTCTCCCAGAGAGGGCACACAGCCCTGGCAGACCCTGCTCCAAATCTGCCTGCTCAGCCCTGCGCTGAGCCCTGGGGGACCCGGGATGGCACAGTCCCCGTATCCCTCAGCTTTTATAGATGGGGAGACTGAGGCTTGAAAAGGTGAGCCAGCATCCATGGTGAGAAAAAGGGGGTTCTGGGGCTCAGAGTGAGTCCTGCAGGAGCAGAGGCTCCCAGTGTCCTCCAGCCCACACTCAGGCAGTGGTGAGGGGCTGGGCCTGGCATGGGCAGCTCTTGGCCTCCACGCTCCGCAGCCGCCCTTCTGAGGCCTGCCGGGAGCCCTGTGCACACACTCAGTTCTCAGCGGAGCACAGCCACAGTCAGTGCTGAACACACCTGAGATCCCCTCACCGGGGAATCTTCTGCACTAACCCACGACTCCGTGGACCCAGACCACACCCTTGATTTGCTTTGATTCATGACAAACCAGCCAGAATCTGGTCCATCGTTCTCCCAGTGAAGATCACTGTTCTGTTCCTTATGCTGTCACCCTCTCTCTTGTGGATGACTCGCTGCCCATCACCAGGGGTGGACAAAGTCAGTCCAGTGCATGCACAGCATCGGGGCACGCAGGGGACACGCCCTCTTCCCTCGCAAGGCTTTGCTTCTTTCTGGGCCCCAGGCTCCCTGCTGTATGCAGGGAAACCCCACCTCGGTAGCCCGTGGCCTCACCAGGAAGCAGGAGATGCTTACCTGGGCCGCTGCAGAAGGAGGCGATGACGGCCAGGACGCACACGATGCTGAGGTAGGGGACCCAGGGGGCGCGGTCCTGTGAGAGGACAGAACAGCAGGTGAGGAGGCAGCGGTGTCCCGGGGACCTCAGATCCCACCAGCTCCTGCGTGGTGCATCCCTGAGATCCCTGACAGTCACTTCAGGTCCTGGGCCCCACGACCAGTGTCCAGAATGAGGAAAAAATGGCAAACGCTCCGCCATGTCACACACGTGAGGAGGCAAGAGCTCAGCGGTGTCCCTGGCAGACAGTGAGTGGTAAATAAGTCAAGAACTCATGCTGACAGGTGCTTTGTCTGAAGCAGGCGGGTATTTTGTAGGCATCATCACACTGCAAATATTTCTCTTAGTCACCGCTCTGCTCTTACAATGTCAGGCACCACATTGATACCCCTGCAGTTCCTTCAAAACTTCTGACAAATCGACACAGACACAATGACCTGGAACATCTCCCGAGTGGCTTTCCCCATACCCCACCCTTTGGTACTTCGGATGAACCCAGGGTCTTTGCACTGAGCTACAGTGTTTTATGTTGAGACAACATCTCCCTAAGTCCTTTAGGTGTCCAGCTGGGCTCAAACTTGTGATCCTCCTGCCTCAGCCTCCCAGAGTGCTGGGATTATGGACTTGCACCACCACACCCAGATCTAAGTGGCTTTTTCAGAACCCTGAGTTTCAAGGAGCCCGTGAAGGACAACCTGGGGCCTGGCCTTTGGAAAGGAACCGTCCCTGGCGGCACATTGCCCTGACAGAACTTCTTCTCCTCCTCCTCTGTGCAGTGTGTCCCCAACAACAAGTCACCGTCCCCCAGACGCCACCATCGTGTCTGTGGTCACACCTTTCTAGACAGGTTTGGGGCACTAAGGCATGTGGCAATCAGCTCGAGCAACTTTCAATCTCAACGCCGAGAACATTGATGGCTGCAGGCGATCGCTGTGCCCACTGGCTGGAGACCGTGCAAGTGCTCAGTTCATGCACAGCTGGGCCACAAGCACATGAGGGATCTGGGGTCGAACCCTGGCTCTGCTCTTCTACAGCTGTGCCACCTTGGGCAGCTTACACTTTCATTTTTATACCTCCCATCTCTGGGAAAAGAGGAAACACCGGTTGTATAAGGGTGAAAGACGTCACTCCATCCCCACACCAAGCACATTTTCTCTGAACACTTGTTCCAGGGGCTTCCTAGCATCCCAGGGCAGAGGGACGAGCATCCCCACTTAGAGAAGGCACCAGGAGAGGAGCAGACCGCTGAGTGTCTGCCCAAAGCCTCCATCTGGCCAGGAAGCAGAAGAGCTGGATTCCCACGCAGGCACACTGGCTCCAGGGCTACTGCTGTAACTTTCGGTCAAGAAAGCAATGCTTGGGAAGCACCTGGATGTAGTGTCCCTGACCCCTGCTGGAATTAGACAGCTGGAAGGGGCATCTTGGGGGCCATCCAACATGATCCCCTCTATTCCACAGAGGCTCAGAGAGGGGCTGGATCCTACCCAGGATCGCACAACTCATCAGCGGCAGTGACAGGACTGGAAGCCAGGTGTCCTGTCTTTCAGTGCAAGAAGGAGCCATCACCAAAGCCACCCAGCAGCTCTGAGCAGAAACAGGTGGATCGTGGGAGCTATCTGCAGGTGGGAGGGACAGGAACAGGGGCTCACCTGCAGGGTCAGGGTGATGGTGAGGATCCCAAAGAAGATGGTCATCAGCACGAAGCCACCAATGAGGAGAGGTCTCCGTCCCAGGCGCTCAATGACCAGACCCTGGTGCGAGGGAGAAGAGAAGGACAAAGAGACAGCAAGCATTTAAATTATTTCTTTCTTTCTATGGATAACACGATTCTTTACACAGAACCACACCCCCCCAAAAAAAAAAACTCCACTGAAAGACTATTAGAACTGATAAACAAGTTCAGTAAAGCAGCAGGATACAAAATCAACATGGCCACTCTAATAAATGATTTTTGGGAGAACTAGCTACCCGCACACAGAAGACGGAAGGCAGACCCGTATCTCTCACCATTGTACCAAACTAAAATCAAAATGGATCAAAGGGCTACCTGTTAAAACAGAAACATTTAACCTGCTGGGAGATGGAGTAGGTAAAACTCTTGAAGTCATAGGTGTAGGCAACAACTTTCTGAACAGAATCTCAGGTGCACAGGCAATGGTACCAAGAACCAACAAATGGGATCACAGAAAAGGCTTCTGACAGCAGAAGAAACCAACAGAGTGAAGAGACGACCTACAGCGAGGGAAACTTTTCTGCAAGCTGTTCCTCAGAGAGGGAACTAATATCTAGGGTGTAAAAAGAACTCCAAAATATAGGACCACCCAAAATAAAAGACCCAATCACAATATGGGCAAGTGAAATGATCAGACACTTCACAGAAGTACAGATGGCCGCTAGATACATGAAGAAATGTCCAACATCACTGGCCTTCAGAGAAGCACAGATTAAAACAACACTGAGATTCCACCTTTCCCCATCATCATGAAATCAAATAGCAATGGGTGCTGGTGAGTCTGTGGGGATAAAGGAACCGGTCTACCTTGCTGGTGGGAATGTAAACTAGTACAACCACTATAGAAATCAGTATGCAAATTCCTCGAAAAACTGAAACTAGAAATTCCATTTGACCAGCTATTCCCCTTCTAGGTGTCTTCCTGAAAGAGTTAAAGACATCGTATTGCCGTGATACATGAATACCAAAGTTTATAGCAGCACAATTCAGGACAGCTAAGTCTCGGGAGTGGCCTATATGTCCGCCAAGAGACGCAGAGCAGCAGAGAACTGTCATTTTGCATGACTACGCCAATATCTAAGTGCTTTATTTTGGGTTGGGTGTCTGGTTTGTTGTTTCATGAACCAGGCACCTGGGTGGATGGAAAGCTGGAAACCTCTCCCCGATTTGAGGGCCATCTGAGCAATAGTCCAGGAAGACCGGAGGAAACCTTGGCAGAGAAGGGAGGAGGCCTCCTCACTCAGGGGGAGCAGCAGCAGGGCGCTGGGCTCCTTCCTCCCCACCCCTCACTCTCCCTCTTGTCCTCCTCCAAGGCCCATCCACATGTAGCCTGGCGGAAGGGCTTAGCAGGACTTGGTATTTCTGCCCACGTGAAGACACTGACTGTGTGACTGATCGGACGAGGAAAGAAGGAATTGCAGAGAGAAGAGAAGTAGAGTCCAGCATTGCAGTTACTTCAAATTTGGCTCAATCAAAGCATCCAAACCAGACCTAGCGTTACATGCAGCACGTCCCATCCAACTCCTCCATCTTCGCCATATTGCGTTTTACAGTCACACGCACATGCACACTACTCGCTCTGCTTGGCAGAGGCACCCAGCTTGCTCAGGGCTGCAAGGCCCTCCAGAGCCCCCTCCCATCCACAGGCGTGTTTCCATCCTAGAAGAAAGACGCCTGTCCAGTTAGCCAGGGCGATTTCCTCCAGGGGCTTTAGTTCAGCCGGACTCCATAAGCTTGCTCTGGGCCAGCACCCAGCCTAGTGGAACAGGTGAAGACAAGGACTGTAGGGAAACCGTACATGGCTGCACTGTTGCTTACACACACACACACACACACACACACACACACACACACACACACACACACACACACACACACACTTTCTCTCTTTCTCTTTCCCTCCTTCCCTTCTCTCCTCCCCACCCCACCAACAGATCGCTTACATTTAAAAGCAGTTCTGTAAGATTCCCTGGCAGCAGTGACCAACGTGGGGAAGACAGCTGGGAATCTACACAGGACATTTCAACGCTGGACCGATGTGAGCCCCAGAGCAAGGCCAGCACCCTGGCCTCCCAATGGGTGCCCCCTCCTGTCACCCTGGGGTGCAGACTGCACCCTGGGGACTCTCCAGGCAGAGCCGGTCCCTGACAGAGTCTCTCCTACAGAAGGGCGGGAGGACGGAGGGAGGACCAATGACTCAGCTCTCTGCACAAAGAGAAAGTGAGTCCCGGTTCTGGCCTCACCTTCTACTCGTAATTCTGCTTTAAATATGAGACGGAATCTCTGAGGAGAAGCTGAAACCCTGGCAAGGCTGGGCTACCTGCAAGTTAATGGTGTTTAAGAAAATATCTGTGTTCAGAAGACAGAGTATCTGATAGGATCTCTACTCGGGACAGACTCTAAATTTAAATTGAAAATAAGTCACTGAAGCCTAAATTTTGTTTGGAAATTTCAGCTTAAAAGATGAATTTGTATGTGCCTATAATCCCAGCATTCTGGGAGGCTGAGGCAGGAAGATCACAAGTTCCAGTGCAGCCTGGGAAATTTAGCAACTTAGTGAGATCCTGCCTCACAATTAAAGAAAAAGAAAAAGGGCTGGGGACATAGCTCAGTGTGAAGGCCCTGGGTTCAGTTCTCAGCCACACACACACACATGCTGACTGTGCAGCAGAGACCTGTATATACGCTTGCTGGGTGCCTGTGAGATGGACGCTGGTGGCAGGGAGAGGCATCTGCAGGGTCGGGACTGAGCCTAGAAAGGTCCTGTTCTTCCAGAGCCGTCCACCGCATTGTAACACTTCAGGCAAGTCCTCACCGAACACAATGACCGGCCGGCACCGCGGGACAGGGGAGGCTCCCGGAACCAGGGAGACCGAAGTCAGGAAGACGCAGCCTCACACCCTCAGCAAGGTGCGGTGGGTCCCTGGTGATGGAGCTCCTGGGGGCTTGCAGGCCTCAGGAGCCTGGCGATGCTGTCCTGCCTGCTCCCTCCCATTCCAACCCAGCGGACGGTGTGCGCCCAGGGCCGAGGGTCCCCCCAAACCGTGCTGCGTGCAGGGACGCAGCCCCAGCCTCTGGTGTTCAGTGAGCGGGACCTCTTATGAGGACAAGGGGCGGCACCCGCTGTGGCTCACCAGCACCAGTGCTGCTTCCGCCACCCGATCCCCTCCCGGGCTGAGACCCCAGGCCATGCCGATGAGGCGGGACCTCGTCCCCACGGATGGGCGGAAACTGACGCACAGAGACGTCGACGGCTCGCTGGGGTCACACAGCTCAAGGGAAGCGAGCGGGGCTGGGAACCTGGCCGTGTGGCTCTGCCCTCCAGGTTCTGGGCAGAGAAGGCCAACAGCCCACCCTGCCCACGGTGACTAAGGAAATGACAGCACCACAAGGTGGGGAGACAGCTCCTGCCACTCGAGCTGTTCTGTTCTCACATTTTCTTTTCTTTTCTTTTTTGTGATACTGGGGATTGAACCCAGGGATTTTGCACCTCCAGCCCTGTATTTTTCATTTTTTACTTTGAGACAGGGTCTTGCCGAGTTACTAAGTTGCTGAGGCTGGGCTCAAACTTGAGGTCTTCCTGCCTCAGCCTCCCAGAGAGCTGGGGTTACAGGTGTGCTCCACCACGTTTGGTGACACTGTGCTGTACACGGGGCAACTTCGATACAAATTTGTGGATCAATAATATGATGGAACCTGTCATGCTGCGGGATTACATGGACCAAGGGCCTGAAGTTAGTAATAGAACCAGGGTTACTATGGTGTAAAAATAAAACATACATCGATGCACGGAATAAAGACAAGCAAAGGTTGGCCAGGCTTCCTTGGGTAGTAGAGCGTGGGGACTTTCTTCCCCATCCCTCTCAGTTTTTCTGAATTCTCCAAATTTACCCCACTGAGCTGGTATTGATTTCTTGTAACAACAAAATACGAAAAATAAACACAAAGCCAACAAAGCCTTTGCATTTCCCCCATCATGTCCATCTCAGACTGATCAAAGAAAAGAATTAGTCATAAAAATTGGGTGTGGTCTATAACGCGAGACAAGAATTTTATGAAACATTTGCCCTCACAAAA